CACATATGGAAGTACATCTCAGTGAAGTACATCAAGCTGCGGGAGGGAAAAGGAGGAGATGAGTAAATTTACATCCACTATCTGGATGAAGGTACACTAATAACTTTGACTCAATCCTTACAAAAACAAAGTATGTAAACCAAACATGTATACCCCCTAATATTCCGAAGTTACAAAAAGAAAAAGCAGCCAGGCACAGTGGGTCACACCTGTCATCCTAGCACTTTGGGAGGCCAAGGTGGGAAGATTGCTTGAACTCAGGAATTCGAGACCAGGCTGAGCAATAGCAAAGACCCCGTCTATACTAAGAACAGAAAAAATTAGCCAGGCGTTGTGACAGGTGCCTGAAGTCCCAGCTACTCAGGGAGGCTGAGGCAGAATGATCACTGAACCCAGGAGTTTTGAGGTTTCTGTGAGCTAGGCTGACACTAGGGGACTCTAGTCTAGGCAATAGAATGAGACTCCATCTCAAAAAAAGAAAAAACTGTAAATTCTACAGTTGGGTCAGCTTTCACAGAAAATCTTAAGTATTTTTAAAATTATAGCCTGTAAAAAACAAAAAATGATGGCTGGGCACCATGGCTCATGCCTGTAATCCTACTATTCCGGGAGGCCAAGGTGGGAGGATTGCTTGAGGTCAACAGTTCAAGACTAGCCTGAGTAAGAGCAAGACCCCATCTGTACCAAAAATAGAAAAAATTACCTGAGCATGGTGTGGTGGTAGGTGCCTATAGTTCCAACCACTCAGGAGGGTAAGGCAAGAGGATCACTTGAGTCCCAGAGTTAGCGGTTGCAGTGAGTTATGCTAATGACAGTGAATTCTACTTAGAGTGACAGCAAGACTTGGTCTCAAAAAAAAAAAAAAAGAAATCACTACATCTCTGACTAGATTAACCAAACAAAAAGAGACAAAGTTATTATATTAACAGTGACAAAATACAGTGGAGTATTATATAGGCATATACAATTATGTTTATAAAAAGACATCAAGGACACAGAAACATGCTTGTAATGATGTCATGAGGAAGGAAGCAGGTCACAGGATTATGCAGGATTTTATAGAAGAAGATTTAAAAGAATTAGACTAAATTACAGGCAGTCATATTTTTTGGCATTCTTTTTTCTGCACCTTTATAATTTTTCTCTGCCTTAAAAGTATTTACCTGTGAGATGTATTCTGTCAGGAAAAAAGATACAGAGTGTTAGCAGAACAGAAAACATATAAAGGAAACCCATTTTTACTCTTTTAAATTTTTAAAGTTTTCTACTTTTGGCCAAGATGAAGTAACAGGGACCAGATTTATTCTCCCATCTGAAATGAACAAAAAAATCAAACATAGTACATCATATAACAGTTCTGGAGATTGATCAGGACTTAGGCAGTTTCCCTGAGTTGAGGCAATGGAGCTGTGAGTATAGGGGAGGTGGCATGGGCACAGCAGCAGAGAGAACAGAGAGGACATAGGTATACAGAGGGTCTCACTCAAGACTTCAGCTGAGAACTGATTAGCATGTTTGTATGTGTGTGTGTGTGTATATATATTATATATATATATATATAAATCAAGGCCAGAGAAAAACACCTAAGAAGATTAGAGGGGAATGCCTTCAAAGTTTACACAGTTTACCAGTTCCTCTCCCTGCCAACCAGAATAGCAAACCTCATAATTCATGGGGTATCAGGTAAAATAGTTGGGGGTGTTTTGCCTCAGTAGTGGAGCAAATTAAGCTCTAAACTAAAACTGCTCTTCTCTTTTTAGATACAAGACCCAAAATAATTAACTGTTCCCATGTAACCTAACCACAGCTCAGGCAAAGGTCAAAAATATTGATAGGAATTTTAAAAATCCAGCAGTTAATAAGGTAAAACTCACAAGGTCTGGAACCTGATTTTTAACACGACCAGACATGCAAAGAAGCAGGAAAATACAACCTGTAATGAAGAGAAAAAAATCAGTCAATCAAAAATCAACCCAGAAATTATGCAGACAGTGGAATTAGTTGGCAGGGACATTAAACCAATTACAAACGTTTTGAGAAATTGACAAGTTTATCCTAAAATGTATATGGAAGTGCCAAGGACCTCAGCTAGCCAGAACAAGTTTGAAAAAGAAGAACAAAGTTAGATAACTACCTAATGTCAAAAATTACTGTAAAGTCATAACAATCAAGATAGTGTGATATGGGTATAAGTATAGACATAGAGATCACTAGAATAGAATAAAAAATTCAGAAATAAATTCTTGCAGTGAATTTTTTTCGACCCAACTATGTTACGCAGCAAGCGCTTAAAAAGGAGCAAACTACTGGTAAATGCTATAAAATGGTCCAATCTCAAAAATATGCTAAATGAAAGAAGGCCAGACACAAAAGACCCCCTATGCACATGTAATTATATTTATATGAAGTTTCCTCCAAAAGGCAAATATTTAGGAGGAAAATGATCAGTGATTACTTGGGGGTAGAGTGGAAGTGGAGATTGACTAAACACAGACACAAAGAAATTTGAGGGAGTGTTAAATTGGATTGTAGTGATGGTTACACAACACTGTAAATTTGCTAAATATTGAGCGAATTTCATACTGTATAGCTTATGTCTCAATAAACTTTAAAAAAATGGGAGAAGATGATAAGAGGAGCTCACAGAGAAGACTGAGGAGGAAAGGCTAACAAAACTTTCTCATATTTCATTTTCATACATGGGGTTTTGTCTCTTATTTTTTCCCCTTTCAAGTTACATTTATTACACAAGTAGATCATCATGTATGTTCATATATGTTCTTTACCCTTAAAAATTCATGTTAGCAAAAAAGATCCAAAAAATCATGCCTAATCCTGCTACACAAATCAACATCTTAGTGAATGGAAAGCATTCTTCCCCCCTTATTTATGTCTTTATACTGAGATTTCCTGTCTTATTTTAAAAGACTAGATTTTTACTATTCTGTTAAATAAATATTTCTAAATAGATTGTGACATATCCTTTGGGTTTTTCTTTTCTGAGTTAAATTTATAATGTATTCACATGAATTAATTTATGTCAATTTACAGGAATGGTTCCCCAAGGTGAGGCCAACTTTGCTCCATCTCTAAGCCCTGGGAGCTCCATGGTGCCGATGCCAATCCCTCCTCCTCAGAGCTCTCTGCTCCAGCAAACTCCGCCTGCCTCTGGATATCAGTCACCGGATATGAAGGCCTGGCAGCAAGGAGCAATAGGAAATAGCAAGTAAGAGAGCAGTTTTTACACACGAGCATCCCTGGTCCTCTGTAGCCCATCAGATAGCCATGCTTGCATAGGCGGATTGTATTTATACAGTTGAAGGAGATTACTGGCTACTGTCATTTGCATAATAGAAGACTGAATTTTATGTTATTAGCAAAGAAAGATAACAATATTTAAATGTTTTAAATATCAAGTAGTTTTTAAGGCAATTTTTTGTCTATAGTACAGAAAAGTAGTCCCTTGTTCCCAATCTTTTGATCCTGCCTCCAACAAACCTAAAGAATATGACCAACTCCCATCAGTAACAGAGCTTACTGTGGACAGATGTAGAGATGGGTACTTCTTAAAACATCTT